CCATATAGGCATACGTTCGTCTGATGAGCCGTGTTATCAGTCGGAATGAATTCTATATGATTGTCTCGCTCCTGACAATCATGCGTAGATTTATTGATCTATCGCCTACCATTGTAGAAACTTTAACGGTAAACGTTGCTTCTTTTGTTAATTGTGCCTTCAAACTAGACTATCAGCAGTCTGTCTCAACCACTCACCGATATCGTATGTCGCTTCCGAGCTCAAATTAAAGTCACATTCGATGCCTTTTTGCAACAAGTTCAACCAGGTGCAGGGTCGTCTCAAGTTCCCCCAGATGCCACAGTTCACGAACTTGCTTCCAATGTAGTTTTTGGTTTTGCAAAAAGCGTTACGCCAAACTTTTAGGTATTACTCTTCCTTGAGAAGCTCTTTGATTATGAAGTCACAGTCGGGACGTGCTTAACTTGGGAGGAAGTGAGAATCGCCCCTGAAAACACCTTCCAATATCTCACAACTGTTGGTTCCAAGCCCAAGATGGCCAGATCAGCTTTTGGGCAATACATATGTGAGTTACTGCTTATTTTCAAGTAATAATAGTTGAAACCTATCGATTGTGCATGTAACTCTTCTTGAGCAGTCCGCGTCACAACATCGCTGGTCGGTAATATAGACAAAAAGGCGGAGGCCTATTCAATTGATCTCACAAGAATTGTCTTCCAAATGAATAATCTTCGTTATATTCTGACGAATCTGAAAAGGTACTGCTTGAAAGTTAAACTTTACTAATCACCGTTCCATCATAGTACTGGTCTACAGGCGATTCTTGATGAATATGACAACACAACCGTGGAGAAGCTCAATAAAATTCTCAATGAAAGCAAGCAGGTCTATGTTAGAGCGTACGTTATTCTCTTCTCTCCTTTAAGTCAAGTCTCTTTGGGAGATTTCTTACCTGCAGCACTTGGACGCTCTCTTCTTTACAGTATCTCAGACACAATTGGTCTTTCTGTGTCGAATAAAGACGTAGGTAGCGCTAGTGGTCCATTGCGTCGTCGTATAAGCAGGCGTCGAACCTCAGTCCTCTCTGAGGTTTCGTTGCTAAGCGACGAGGTAGCCAGGAGGTCATCTGTGGCTGTGAGTCCAGTCCAGGGCAAGGTGCGGTACTCCTTCATGCTTCGGTCCTGCATGTTTGCATGCTGTCTTAATATATGCCGATGCATGTTTAATTTTCATCTCATCTGAATTTATGTATCTTGTATGGTTGGAGCTTATTTAGAAAGAGAAAAAACCACACCAGTACATTGGTTAGAAATGGAAGAGGACTTGTATGATTGATAATGGCTGGTGTGGCTATGTTAGAGAGTGTTAGCGCCTTCAAGTATAATTTAGAAATGTTAGTGGAAGTTAGCTATTATCGACCAGCACTGCTCTTGACACTATCTGGGACCGCCGGTTAACTCATCAAAGCTACAGGTGTGGAGAATAACACATGATTGCAGTGTTACGTTCTATCAAATGCAAATATAACCCCCCCCCCCTCCCTCCTTACCCTCCTAGGGGGGACTTAGTGGCTTAATATCATGCGAGGTTATGTTGAAATCGGTGTTTCAGTGCATATTTACCGTTGGATTTCCTGTTGATATGTCTGGTTTTCTCTCGTTGCCTTGATTACTATGCCTTGCCCTGCCTGCTTCCTTCTAGATGCATGCGCTGTATGAATTTGCCTTCTCTCGCTTTCGTCAATCAGTTCTCTCAGCGTAAACAGGTAACACCTTCTCCTCTAATCCCCTTATTCTTAGCTTCGTTGCATGCTCTGCTCATTTCTCTAAGCCTGCTAATATTACCTTTTCTTTCTGCTACATGTGAAGATGGACTCGAAGGAGCGGTCTCAAATGAAGGATATGTGGACTGTAAGTGCATCACCTGAATTTTAGTTCTATTAGTCTGCATACTTTGTGGAAGGTAGTTCCACATGCTAATAGTTCGCACTCGGTGCTACTTGTCTTTATCGATATGATATAGATGAATACTACTCTCCAATGAAATAAATCAATCAATCTGGATTCCTTATCATGTCAGTTCTCATCGCGTCCAAAATTGGGCCACTGTGGAGGAGATTGGTCATCATAATCGCCTGATTCTGTGTTCATATCAGAGCACATTCGATAAATAGCACGTTATCTCTGTTTGGCAGAATGTGAGAGCTTTTCATTAGATGGCGCTCCAAGCTGATTTTCCATTCACCAGAATGAGTGATGGAAGGCACTTCTTTTCAACGCGCCTTCGAATAGTAAAGCGCATGACAAGTTTAGATTCTGCTGCTTTCCTGAAGCTGACTACCAGTGCTGCGTACAAAAGCGACTAGGTTTTCTGGAAATTAGTCAAAGTGGCTTCTTTATGCAGAGCCCATCGTGTTTACATAGCTGTCACCTTAGTACCATGTAAAAAATTCAGTGGCTGCACACGTAAGTGAGAATATCCCAAAGTTGGTATCTAAGTGTCATTAGAGTAGAGTTAGCAGTAAACCACGTTAGCTCAAGTAATTTCAAGTGTTTGATACGAAGTAGCTGCGCAACTCAACTTACTAGGAATTTTGGCCTATGTTGAATTAAATATGTGTCTCGTCAATGAACAACAGATACTTAATCCTCTTTTTTTCGTAAATTCTCTCACTTTGCAAGAATATTGAAAGCTAAACTAACCTGCTTCCCCCTCTCTTTTATGCTCTATTGCAGAACGTAAATCAGGGTATTGCAAACCTTCTGAAACAGCACTCCCAGCTCTCAATCCCAGATAAAGATTTTCGTGAAGAGCTTCGAGTTTGTGTATTGAAGGAGCTCATTCCTCTTTACCAGACATTCCATGATCGGTCTCTCCAGACGCCTTTCACCTCGCGTCGTGAAAAGTACATCAAAATGACGCCAGTGGAATTTCAGACCAAGTTGAGCCAACTCTTTGGGCCAGTCCCTCAAGCTACTAAATCTTGAACGGGGGACCATTATTTTGACTGTGATTGCTATCTACTGTTTTAATTAATAAATTCCATTTTACTTACAATTGTGCCTGTTTCGTTTCTGTTCTTGTGGTTGGAGGTATCTTCAATTTCTTTATTTTTATTTGCCAATATCTATTTCCTTCAGCATGAAGTTTAAAAATGTTCAAAATCAATGAATTTGTCCCTTGCGAAATTTATTTGTTTTCTTTTGAATTTAACCACAGAACAATTTATTTATTTATATCAAATGGCAGGCGTCTTGATGGTTATCATTAGCCCTTTAGTTGACTTCAGGCTTCACAGAGGGGAAGAAACATTAAATTGAAAAAAGTCGAGAGGGGGAACAGTAGAGTGTTTCAAAGATGTAAGAGACAAGCACGAAGGTAGAACA